AGCAATATATAGGGAAACGGGACAAGGGAACAGGCTAAACAAGTAATTTGGCGACGCATAGGTGCTCGTCACCACACCTATACGCCACACACATGGTATTTCACATAGCAAGCAAGTCGGGGATCCCTAAGGTTAGACCAAACACTTACCTCAAGCCAACGGGTAATTCACAGCTCAAATACCGATTTACCTCTCGATTCCACCACCAATCCACTCGTATCTAGCCATATTTAACTTAATAACATCAATAAACGCTAAAGAAACCAATTCCAATGTATAATTATAGATTTTTCAATATTTTCTCCAAAAAGTCAAAATCGACCCCGGGCCCGCTTGGTCAAAACTCGAAATTCGGACCAAAATCCGATTACCCATTCACCTCGAGCCCGGATAAGCAATTGATTTTGGAATCCGGCCTCACTTTGAGGTCCAAATCCCCAAATTTCGAAATTTCTAAGTTCTACCAAAATACCCAATTCCACCATGAAAATCCCTAGATTCTAGGATGAAATCTTGTAAAAAGATGGAATACATTGAAAGAAATGAGTTAAGAATCATTTACCTATGATTTGGGGAAGAAATGGTCTTTGAAAAATCGCCTCTAGAAGTTTAGGTTTTGTAAAATGGGAGAATGAATGAAAAATTCCATCCAAAAATTGTTTTGAACAGTCGCAGTTATCTCATTAGCGATCACAGGTTGCAATTGCGAACTCGCAAATGCGGACATTACTTCGTAAATGCGAAGCTTGGCCTGGCATGCTGGCATCGCAAATGTGAACTAGTGTTCGCAAATGCGGCCTCTGTTCCAATCGCAATTGCGACAATGAGCTTCGCAAATGCGAAGGTCCCCTTCCCAGCCTTCGGATCGCAAATGCGAAATACCTTCGCAAATGCGATGATCGCATTTGCGAGCCAGACTTCGCAAATGCGAAGTCTGCAGACCTGCAACATACTAGAAAATTTTTCTCAAGTCCAAAATCATTCCGTAGCCTATCCAAAACTCACCCGAGCCCTCGGGGCTCCAAACCAAACATGCACAAAAATCTTAAAACATCATACGAACTTGCTCATGCGATCAAATTGCCAAAATAACACCTAGAACTATGAATTCAACACCAAAACACATGAAATTTTCAAGATAGTTTTAAACTTTCTATTTTCTCACCCAAAGGCCCGAATCACGTCAAATTACTTTCGTTTTTCACCAAATTTCACATATAAGGTTCAAATATTGTAATGGACCTGTACCAGGCTCCGGAACCAAAATACGGGCCCGATACCAATAAGAACAAATCATTTAAATCATTGCATTTTCAGTCTTATCAATTTTCTTCAAAAATTTATTTCTCAGGTTAGGGACCTCGTAATTCGTTTCCGGGCATACGCCCGAGTCTCATTTTTTACTACGGACCCTACGGGACCGTCGGAACACGGGTCCGGGTCCGTTTACCCAAAACGTTGACCAAAGTCAACAAAAATCATCTTTTTAAGCCAAAAATCATCTTTTCTTAAATTTTTCACATAAAAGCTTTCCGGATACGCGCCCGGACTGCGCAAGCAAATCGAGAAAAGATAAATGGAGGTTTTTAAGGCCTCGAAATACGGAATCGGATTCTAAAATAAAGGATGACCCTTTGGGTCATCACAGAAAGTACTTTTATATTGATAATTATTTCAAATTCAATTTAACGTGTTACAAATCTCTATTACTACACGTCGTTCATTATGCTTGTTTTTTAATATCTTGCTGTTGTTACTGCTTGTTGCTACTGTTTTCTTTTTATCTTTTCTTGAGTCGAGGGTCTTTTGGAAATAGCCTTTCTACTTTCAAGGTAGGGCTAACGTTTGCATACGCATTATCCTCCCCAGACTATAACGAATTTGTTGCTGTTGTTGTAATTTAACCCGTTACACATTTGATTTAACTAATAATGTCAAAATTTTATTTGCTAGATAAGTTCCATTATAATCTATTGAGTCCCTTGTTGATTACAAAGAGATTGTTATTGCATTTATATGCCGAATGAAATGTCAAACTTTATAGGCTAATTTTTGGAGTGAATTAACGCTTTTGTTTTGTCTATATCAAAGTTCTCAAGTCCAAAGGACATAAAATGTAAACCTCTATACGGTTAAAATCGGGCTTGCCCAATTTTGCTATTTAATCGGTACTAGAGGATTATATCGAGGGGCAGCCTCGTAATGGATCAGGAAGACGAGGTGGCGAGTTCGAGAATCGAGGTGTCTGTCGAGACCGAGGCCAGCAGTAATCGAGACTAAGTATGACCGACTTCGAGTGAAGTGCAATAATGGAAAGGCGAGATATCCGTAACCGGTCGAAGATCACGGCGGAAATCTCGGAACAGATCAAATCAAGAATGGTTATTTGTACCAATCATGGGATTTACTTCCGTAATTAGAATTGTACCATAACCAGGACTCCTCTGCTATATAAAGAGGGCCCTAATCATTTTGTAAATATTTTACATTCATAACGATCAAGGCAATAAAATATTTATCTGGTTCATCAACTTGTTGTTCTTTAACTGTTCTTACTTTACTAAGCTCGAGGGCACTGTCCAAGCATTAGTTTGTTTTACATTCTTGTTAATTCTCATCACTTATCTTTAAGTTAATCAATTGATATTAGGTGAAATCACATATCCTTAAAACCACATTATAAGTTTAATTGTTATCCAGTTTTTAGTGTAAACAAAAACCGTTTTAGATAAGAAATTATTTTTGGTCACTCTTGTCATCTATTTTCCAAAATCATTAGGGCAATCATGTTTTCTGATTTAATTTTCCACAAATAGACATGGCCCTTGACAATCTTACTTTTACACTTTATCGTGAATTTTTCTGTACTGGTTATTCGATCACGTTTTGCCTCTAAAGTTCTGATATTCTCATAACAAATTATAGAATATCCATGTGATCCTATTCTCATATTTGTATTTCCTTTCCCATTAATAAGCGGTAGTTATTTTGCCTCATGCATTGCAATTTTCTTCATTAGTCATTTAAGTTTGTTACGATTTTACTTCTCTTTATTTAGTCATTTAAATTTGTTGATCTAAACAAAGCAAAATGAGTAAAGAAGATTCAATTAATCAATCTTAACCAATTTGGAAATAAAATATATTTCTAACAGATTTTAACTTATTTAAAATCAAATAATAGTTACACTAACTCACTAAGAGGTCGTTTGGTAGCTGGTTAGAAGAAAGGTTATTCATGTATAAGGGGTAACATAACTTATACCATGTTTGGTAGGCAATAGTTATTTTGTATAAAATTCTGCATAACTAATACCATGTTTGGTTGACATTTTTCAATTATGCATAAATAATACATGTATAAGTTATGAGTCAATCTGTGTATTATTTTATGCGGGGTAGAAGATGGAATAACTAATACATGTATTACTAATACATGGATAAAATACTGAAATGACAAATTTACCCCGATCACTTTACACATAAGGCTTCCTTATTTCTCTGCCAACCCGTCTAACAGGTTTCACTTGCTTTCACTTGCCAACTATATACCTTGTCTTCTCTCATTTTTAAAGAACAAACTAGCAAAAGCAAACTGGAGAAGCCACTAGAAAATGGAAATACCAAAACTAAGAAGTGCAAATCAAATATGTCTAAACTTCACATAGTTCAGTAGTATGACGAAGAAGTGAAAGTAACACCCAAAGTTCCTAACTAAATTGTTTCCTACATAAATGGAAAGAGAGAAAAAACAATGCAAAAGAAGGTCAGGGGTATAGTTGTAAACAAGCATTTTACTTTAAAATTTATATAATGTAAATCAATTTCTAATACAACAAACCAAACATTCAAAAAAATAATCTCTGCATAACTAATACCTGCATAACTAATCCCTGCATTACTTATCCCTGCATAACTAATACATGTATAACTAATACCTGCATAACTCTAACCGGCAACCAAACGACCCCTAAGGATTATATAATAGGATGGCTGTTGAAATCTCACGACCTTTAACTAAGAGGTTTCACGTTTCAAGTAGTAAAAATTGAGGCCAATATTTAAATTATGTTCCCGTTAGCCCGGCGAGCTAAATTTGTTTGTAAATGCCTATGCCTATTGGAAAAAAGGGAGCTTGAAAGAGTTCTTTCTAGAAAATATTTATTGGAAAACATAAAGTTTAGATAAATACTACTCCACCAGTCACTTTTAGTTGTCAAATTATTCTAAATTTTTTTTTCATTTTTTACTTGTCACTTTTCGCATATCAAAAGAAAAATAACTTATTTTTTCTGTTTTGCCCTTAGCATTAGTTACTTATTCCAAATCAATTTTCAAATCCATTACAACTATGTACCAATTAATATGGGTATTATGGTAAATTATGCACTTTATTTAATTTAGATGACACACTTTCTTTATTAGTTCGTTCCAAAAAGAACACACATTTCTACAATTGGCAATAATTCAACTTTAAACTCTTCATTTTACCCATTTTACTCTTAATGAAAAGTTTTATAACCACACAAAGCTTTTATTCCAAGAGCTTTTAAGACCGGAAGTTTCAAAAGTTTTTTTTTTTTTCTTGAACTTTGTACCGAGTCAAACTACCTCGTCTAAATTGAAACGAAGAGAGTATCAATATAAACAAGTAAAAGTGAATGGAGGGAGTATATGAGACGAAATGTATAAGGGTGGTAGGTTGGGGTGTAGTTGAAATTTTGAGCAAACAGATAATCAAATAAGCAGCAATTTGCAGAGTGTGGGGCCCTTGTGGGGTCAATGGAAAAGGTACTCTAAAGGGAATGGTGACATTAGTGAGTCCTGAAAAACCATTTGCCACTACAAGGGAACAAATTAAAGATGTTTACGTGAAAGCAAAGGTAATGATGTCAGGACTTGCTTTGTTTCTTCTTCTGCCTCTCCATAGTTTACATACTTCAAGCAACAATTCTTCTATGTTATGCCCCACTTCAATCTCTCTCTATATATATATATATACACAATGCATGCATACAGAAATCTTGATTCAGTACATATATATAACACTTAATTACACATGCACAAGAGTGAGATCACTGTATTACTAACTAAAGATTTCCCCCCAGAATAGTGTTATTCCCACTAGATTACTAAATCAAGAAGATTGCTTTGTGGCATTTCCAGGTGAAAAATGAGTGAGCTTGAAACAAATGAAGTTTTCGCCTTTTGTGTTTATTACATACAGTAATTGTTTTCTTGCAATTAATTGTACTTAACTGTTATATTTGCTGCTTTCTCACATGGATTCAGCAATTCTTGTCAATTGATTGTGTTATCCCCTATAATACTGGGTATGTTGTTGTTGTTGTTGTGATCGTAATATCACAGTCTTTTGATGTTTTTCTAGCTTAATATATTGCTTAACTGATTAATTTGTCGGTATCTTGTGTAGTTGCCCCGAATCCCCACCCCCTTCTTTTACTCAAGCAGACATCTACTTAGTTGTTTTATCAAATTGTGGCTAGTCAAATGCTTGTTTTGTGTTTTGCCTGTGTCTCTCCTTGTAATTCAGCTTCTAAATTTTACTTAAATAAAGAGAAGAAAGGAGGAGAAAGGGAAAGAAAAGTAGTTTTCCTGTGTCTTTTTTTGATTTCCCGCCCAGTGTTGAGTACCTACATGGGAGGCCGACTATATCCGGATTCGCGCCAGCCGCCGCGTAGGGCTCCATTCGGGGGAAAGCGCTCCCTACCAAGGATTTTTCCATACCCAGGGCTAGAATCCGAGACCTCTGGTAGAGCAGCCCCATCCGCTGCACCACATCCTTTAGTGGTTCCTTTGGTTGAATTTACTGGAAAAGTGAGAAGTAAAAGAAAATTTAAAGCTTTTCTCTTTTCATTGACTGGATGAGTCGATACTTGAGTCAAAAGGGAAAGACTTATTTTATTCTCTTTTTTCATTCTTTTCTTCCTTTATCTAGTTTTAAATATGGTGCGAGGTCATACTGGACTGGTCCTCACTTATGATTTTGGGAAAGGGACAAGTGAGAGTTAGTAAAAAGATATACTAATAATTACTTAAAAGAGCAAGATATTAAACTAGTTATCTGTCCAATCCAACTCTCATTGTAAGTTGGATACTTGAGTATGTTACCAGTTCTTTGGATTTTGAGCTATTATATTTCCTACTGAATCCAGCTTACTGGAGTGCCCTATGGATTCTTGGATTTAAAGTTTTAGTCTGTTAATGTTTGACAGTAACTTGGATGCTATGTAAATTAGTGAATTAGCCGTTACCCCTCTGTCCACACTAAAACAATCTTACTATATTTATGATTTTTTCAGTTGTATTCTTTGATTTTGAACAATCATTTTAGTGGTCTTATCTCTTGATGACCATTAGGTTGTTGCAAAAGTTGGCTACTTTTTTACTTTTCTTCTTATGATTGATCAAAATGTTACTGAATTAGCATCTTTGTTGAAGCTTAAACAGGTTCAGAGAACATTGAATGGTGTGAGAAGGATATGGATTCAAGCCGCTCCCTTTGTCGTATTCTCCTTTTAGTTCTATTTGGAATATCCCTCCAATACCAATGTTCTGCAAGTGGGATTGATGCAAACGAAACAGCGCTACTGTTAGTAAATGCATCTGAAGCATCAGCGAGGAAAATGCCGGATACTCTCTTTGGAATATTCTTTGAGGTGAGTTTATGGAATTATAACATTCCTCTTAATGAAATTGTACCTTGGAATAAAATTATTTCATGCATTGCATCAACCTACTCCTGTTTTAACTTTTAAGGTTCAGGGTTCTTGAATTACGGAAAGAAAAAAAGGCAAAAAAGTAAAATAATACCTATTCACATTTCTCCAACTATCTGGCTGGAAGTCCTTCCTACTTTATTTTATTGGCATAAGTTGGAAACTATTACCAGACTCTTGGAAAATCAAATGGGATGCATTTACCGTGATGATTGGATACTTTCAATTGAATAATATATGACACCTTAGGTATTTTGTTTCAGGAGATCAATCATGCTGGTGCTGGTGGATTATGGGCTGAACTTATCAGCAACAGAGGTGAGCTTCAGTTTTTTGGTTGATTTAGAAAAGGAAAAGCCTGTAAATTGAATAAATACATGTTTTCACTTGGAGAGAATGCTTATACCTATCTTTCATTTTAAAACGAAAAGGAAGAGCAGGATTTATAGGTGGAAAATATGAAGACAATGACATTTACTCTTGGTCAAATAGAAACTCAGACACATTAATATATGATTTTTTCCTCGCTTCTATCGTCATAATTACTTTTTCTTTGAACTATAGTTGTACATGAAATGTTAAATTGGAGAGTTTATATGTTCTAGCACGGTACTATGGTTCAACAGTTATGCTTTTCGATTGATAACAAGACTTTGGTGAGTATAACAATAAGGCCCTTAAAATTATCAATTGATTTCCAGTCATGTACAGTCATAGGCTTTGCCTCTTAATATTCTTGTCTTTGATGTTAATTTTAAATTTTCTTGAAAAACCATTTTCAGGTTTTGAATCTGGCGGCCATAAATTTCCATCTAGCATTGAACCTTGGTCTATCATTGGCGATGAGTCTTCTGTGATCGTATCAACTGATCTTTCATCATGCTTTGATCAGAATAAAGTTGCACTGCAAGTGCAGGTGCTTTGTGACAATAAAGGTGCCAAAATCTGTCCAGATGGAGGAGTTGGTGTCCATAACCCGGGATTCTGGGGCATGGTATTTTACCAACTTTTTTTATCTTGACTTAATGTTCTTTACAGGTCTCTAAGTTCCTCTCGCAGATATTCACCATAAAAATGTTCACTATTCTGGCAAATAGCGAAAGCACAACAAACTTGCTTCATATGTATTTTCAAGTCTCTCATGTTGATTTCCACTAAAATTATATGGTAAATAAGATTTTTTTGTGTGCTATCGCTACTTTGCTTTTTGTGCTTTTGTGGTTTATTCAGATTATGATCAATAAAACAAAACCAAGTAACGACCATTAGACTCTAGCGTTTCTATGTTTATATACTCATGAGTTTGTTGTGTCCTTGTTACTTGTTTTCCTTATTTTTATGCTTTCATGCAGAATATTGAACAGGGAAAGAAATACAAACTGGTGTTTTATGTGCGTTCCCAAGAGTCGATAAATTTATTAGTAGGTTTAACCGGTTCAAATGGACTAAAGAAGCTGGCTACTGTTGTCGTAGTGTAAGTATCATATGCTACATATATTGTTTTCTATGTTTCCAATTTTTCATACCAATGTTTCGACAAAGTTCAGATCTTGCTTACAGTTCATTCTTTAATGTTCTTGCAGAGCTGCAAATGTATCAAATTGGACAAAGGTGGAGGTTTTGTTGGAAGCTGAAGGAACAGATCCCAATTCACGACTGGAACTGAGATCAACCACAAAGGGTGTTATGTGGTTTGATCAAGTATCATTGATGCCTCTGGACACATACAAGGTAATGAATATTAGGAACTTATTATTAACTTTTCGGAGAAGGATTTAACTTTTATTAAGGAGTTGAATTTTATTAGGTTTAAATTAAGAAAATTAGAAGGCTTGCTAACCATTTAACCAAGAACATCCAGTAGTTGTCAACTTAACCTGAATAAATTTACAAATTATTGCAACTATTAGTTGCCCTTGTTTTTCGCTATAAATACCATTACTTAATTGATCCTTCTATGTTAGTGAGCATGGTGTGGTTCAGTTTTTTGCTTTCTTCTTGATGTAATCAAGTCATAAATGTAATTTTGGCGATTTTCTTGGTGCAGGGGCATGGCTTCCGGAAAGACCTTTTTGGAATGCTAAAGGCCTTAAAACCAGCATTCATCAGATTTCCAGGTAACATTACCAGCCGATGGAGCAGCATTTATATGGTTTATTTGCAATTGAATCAGAGTTAATATTTTCTACCTCATAGTTATTTTGGCTTCTCTACTCACTTCCCTCTTGATGAGAAAGAATATTGTTACACATTATCATAAAAAGAATGATACTCAAAGAGATGCCTTAAAAGCCACGAGTGATCAGTTACTCCTTAAAGTAATTGAATGTAACTGGAAATTATGCTCACAGTGTTCCTATAATGAAGTTAAATGTATTCATTAATAAAGAAACTTATGTTAACATGCGTGAAAATAAGAAATCTACAATGCCGTAAGGATACTTTCCGTTGATTATGCTCAAGCCAACTGGAGATCAAGTAATCTAGTTCTTCTTATCGATAAAAGGAATTTTCTATGCTATGATGAAACAATTATGAGAAGTTGAGGAGGAGTCTATCTGTCATTTGATAGTGCAGTCATTTGGGACCGTTCATGCTTCCCACTTCGTACTTCCCAAATATATTTAGTGTTCGTATAAGTATTTTAACTCCATCTATGTCTTATTTTACAAGGTTGAAGTATTTGATAATGTTGTTCAATGTGGATAAATTTATCACCATGTATGTCTGCAGGAGGCTGTTTTGTCGAAGGCAGCTGGTTAAGAAATGCATTTCGGTGGAAAGAAACTATTGGACCATGGGAAGAGAGGCCTGGGCATTTCGGTGATGTGTGGAATTACTGGACTGATGATGGGCTTGGTCATTTCGAGTTTCTACAGGTAACATTCTGTGCTCTCCTGAAGTTGATTCAAATGGACTTAAGAACCTGGCCAAGTACACACGAACACTCTTAACACGAAATGGTATGCTTATGTGTGTGATTAGTGGCTTAGCCAGAATTTTCCTCAAGGATGTTCAAATTTGAAAGAAGTAAAAAAAAAATCCCGACAGAGAGTGTTCAGTATATGTTATGTACCTCTAAAATATGATATTTTACCTGTATACGTAGTGTAATTTTCTGACAAAGGGTGGTCAATTGCCCGCTCTTACCAAAGTGTAGCTCCGCCACTGTGTGTGATAACTCGAGTCCTTTTTTTCTGCAGCTTGCAGAGGACTTGGATGCATTGCCAGTTTGGGTTTTCAACAACGGTATCTCCTCCACATTCTAAGATGCACTATTCTTTTCATTTATTCTGTGTTTTCTTCATGCAATTAATTAGCTTTTTTTTCTTCTCTATACTTGTATTATTCTCAGGAATCAGCCACAATGATCAAGTTGACACTTTCCATGTCTTACCTCTCGTGCAAGTAGGTTTCCTGAATTTTCTTATACAAATGACATGGACACTACTTGCTAAAATCTGATTAAAAACTTGAAAGGCATATATATTCTGTAATAAAGTTCAATTTGATGCTAAAAGTTCTGGACACGCAACTTATCAAGACTCCCAAAGGTTTACTCAAATATAGAGGCATATTGGTATTAGACTTTCTAAACGTGATCTTTCTTTTTTCCATTTTAGTTTCCACTTTTGTCAGTCATGAATTCTCTTGAGTCGAGGTTTCTGTCGGAAACAACCTCTCTACCTTCATAAGGTAGGGGTAAGGTCTGCGTACACATTACCCTTCCTAGACCCCACTTGTGGGATTTCACTGGGTTTGTTGTTGTTGAAATCTCTATTTTTCGCTAAATCTCACTACACTTTTGATGACTATAATCCTTGGAATTGAAGCGTTGCGCTACTCAGCCTATGTTTCATTAAATTGAACATTTTATGTAATAGATGAAAGTCAAACCTTAAGGGTTTTAGTGGTTATAACAGAAGCAACTGTAAACCATAAAGAGGTCTAGAAGCAACTCATGGACTTTATTTTCCCATGACCCACATATATGTGAAAAAAGTATGTGGATATCGCATATTGAGCACTCTTTTATGTTTTATAAGCATATGTTGTCGATGTCCAGGAAATCTTAGATGGTCTTGAATTTGCAAGAGGTGATCCTGACTCAAAATGGGGTTCGATTCGAGCTGCAATGGGACATCCAGAGCCCTTTGATTTGAGATATGTTGCTATTGGAAACGAGGATTGTGATAAGACACAGTACCATGGTATGCAGACCTTACTGTATTTAGCAGATCATATTTTCATGATATACATAAGAATAGTATGCCCTATAACTTTGTAGCTGGGACATCACTTTATAGTCGCGCATGTTTCATGGCCTCCCAAGAATTTTGAGAATTGAGTCAAGACCTGAAATCCTTGTAATATGATTCAGGAAATTACCTCAAGTTCTATTCAGCAATCAAAGAAGCCTACCCAGATATTGAGATAATCTCTAACTGTGATGCTTCTGCCAAAGCATTGGATCATCCGGCTGATTTATATGATTTTCACGTAAGATTTTGATGTCGTTTAAGTCCATATTTCGCGAAGCAGGTACATTGGGAGCTAACTTTGTTTACCTTATGTCTAGCTTTTAACGTTGTGATGTTTCTGTGGTTAGATTTATGACAATGCAAGTACTGTGTTCTCTCTTGCCAACCATTTCGATGGCGCACCACGCAATGGACCGAAGGTAGGGTTAAGTGTTCCTTTGATGATTACTGCATTTTGTTTTAAATGGTGCTTATGTATAGTTCTACTACTGCTTTCTCTTCATCTTTCCTCGAGCCGAAGGTCTATAGGAAACAACCTTTCTACCTTCTAGGTAGGGGTAAGGTTTGCGTACACACTACCCTCTCCAAACCTCCACTTGTGGGGCTATGCTGGATTTGTTGTTGTTGTTGTTGTTGTTGTTAGTGGTGCTTATGTATAGTGTTTATTTCTATAGGCTTTTATAAGTGAGTATGCTGTGCACGGAAATGATGCTGGAAAAGGTAGTCTTTTAGCAGCATTGGCTGAAGCTGGTTTCCTCATTGGGGTAGAAAAGAACAGGTACCTGCCATTTTTGGGAATATATATCAACTACTGATCATTTCTATGCTCGACGATAACCTATAATTTATTCTCATGCAGTGATGCAGTTGAAATGGCAAGCTATGCACCCCTATTTGCTAATAACAATGACTGGACGTATGTTTGATTTCTCTGCTCTTACTCTTCTTCTTCTTCTTCTTCTTCTTCTTCTTCTTCTCATTTTCTTCAAAATTGGATCATCTCTGTAAAATAATGCTCTTTTACTTAGGTGGAAAGCAGATGCGATTGTTTTCACTTCTTCACAGGCCTATGGAACCCCTAGTTATTGGATGCAACACCTTTTCAAAGAGTCAAACGGCGCAACTCTTCTAAGTTCAACACTCCAAGCTAATTCTTCAGATTCGCTAATAGCATCTGCCATAACCTGGCGAAATGAGATTGATGACAACGAGTACTTAAGAATAAAGGTGGAGACTTTATTGATCTGATTGATGAATATTTAAGGGTTCAGATAATTTCTTCTCTTGAAATGCTAAAAGTACGCTAGTATATAATTTCATATAGACTGTTATCATTAGTGCCTCTCAAAACTTACATTATCTATATTCAAAGTTCACGTAGCACTCTGTGAACCAGGGGCGGATCCATCTTGCGACCTACGGGTTCACATGAACCCAGTAGCTTTTTTCCAAACAGTGTAAATGTGTTCGAAAAATTCACTAATTATCTATAAATGTTTGAATGTGAACCCAGTTACTATTAAAAATTTACTCAAAGTCGTTGCAGGAACCCATAAAAATTAAATCCTGGATCCGACTCTGCTTTGAACAACCTACATGTGTCAAACAAACTAAGACTGCTCTTGTTCATATGTTTTAAGTACTTGGAATCCTAATATCTTACCTAGGTTGCTTTAGTGAGGATAGATTTATATGGTGTTCAGTCTGAGTTCATACTTGCTACAATCAAAAGCTGTTCATTTTGCAACTATACAACTTAGTCTCCATCTGTTACTTCATGGCTCATTTGTCGTTCTTTTTTACACGCATGACTCATTTGTCAAAGATAATATTTCCAGGTTGTGAACTTTGGGAGCAGCACAGTTACTCTTAAAATCTCTATTAGTGGATTGGAGCAGAACTCATTCCAGTCCTTTAGGGCGACAAAAACTACATTAACATCTACCAATGTGATGGATGAGAATTCTTTTGAAGATCCTAAGAAGGTACAGACATGTTCCATTTCATACTTGACCCGAACAGAGTCTTATTTCCTTTAATTTGGTGACTGCTTTCCTTGAAATCTTATTATGTTATTATATGCAGGTGTCACCAGTTGAAACTATGGTCGAAAAAGTTAGCGAGAACATGGATGTTGTACTCTTGCCGTATTCTTTCACTTCATTTGATTTATTAAGAAAATCCATCGGCATTAGGACAACAACAACTGCTTCTGACCTTGAATCTTCATTCTAAAACTATGTATCATTGAAAATGCCAGTAATGAATAATATCATTTTCATCTAATTTTCATGTGTCTTCAGTTCTTGATGTTTCCATTTAATCGCTTTTCTGTTGTACTTTTAAGGTGCTTGTCATTGAACTTCTTTGAAACAGTACAGTCGCCACCTCCGTCCTTTTCAGATTAAACGAAGAAAATGTGCAATTATGTCTCTGCTATTTCTATATGAATGATTGATATGAAGATCGTCTAAGCTTCTTTGTTTTCTATTGACTGGTACCTTTTTGTCGGGCAGAAAGGGCAGCCCGGTGCACAAAGCATCCCGCTTCCATGCAGGGTCCGGGGAAGGGCCGCACCCCAAAGGGGTGTGATATAGGCAACCTATCTGATGCAAGCATAATGGATCAACATTAATCTGCCATTCTTGCAAACGTCTTGAGGTAAAGACTAAACATTCTTGTTCTTTTTCAACTTTGAAGGTGGCCATCGCCCTTTCTTTCCTAATAAGTTTCTTCCTTCTTAATCGGATATTCTTTGCCAACTTCATCTTCATCTTCATCAATGGCAGGTTACCAACAAGCACGCTTTCTTCATCACTCTCTGTATTATCAGAACCGGCGCTATATAGCAATCAAGGCACTTCTTTCGTTGCAAAACCTGAAGACTAATGCAGAACGGATTACAACTTCTTATATATGGTGTATAACATGAACATCAAAGAGGAATTAAAGATTGATAGTAACATACATGGGTAGGAATTGAAGTAGAAGAAAAACTTGAAGAATTAGAGGATGCATGAGAGGGGAGAGGAGTAGTGGGTTAACGTTGGGTATTGAACAGTAGGATTTGGAATTTCTTTTCTGAATAACCATTGGAGCAAAATGGCTTTTGCCGGAATAAGAAGAAAAACGTAAAGATAGTCGCATGCAATGATAAGCGCTGGTTGCAGTTTACAACTCTTATTATTGGGATTTATAACTCGCTTTTACAAGCCACATTTAACGATTGCGATTTATAAGTCGCACTCGTAATTCCCAGTATTAACTGCGAATTGTATGTCACATTCACGTATCGCGTCGTTGATTAATTGCGATTTATAAGTCGCATCGACTTTTATATGACACATTCAACTTGATTACGAGTTCCCTCCAACTAATAGAATTTATAAATTGGTGGACAATGCAACATATAAACCACTCCCTTTTTAGATCCGCATCATACCAATAACCCGACCCTGCCTTCCGTATTTTATTTTATTTTAAAAAGCTCGTGTACTGCAGAGTTCCTAAAATATTAAAGTGGTCAACTCATAATTGCAAATTGTAAGTTCAATAAATTGCATCGAGTAAATGCGATTGATGGTGTGTATTACTAACTGGTTTATTCTTTCATCACCGTTGATGCTTAAGCTCTACAAATACACTTTACACATTTTTGGTATTCCCTTAAAACAATACTGACTTTGAAATTGTTGAGCTAAAATGTGTACATTTTGGAAAAAAGTTTCTAAAATCTAAAACTAAGCTACAAAAATAAGCTAAAAAATGATGGCATGCTTCTATTATTCACACAATAGAATAATATACGTTGGAAAACTTGACCAAAAAATGATGTGTTTAATAATATATTTATTTTTATAATCTAAAATTCATTTTAGCTTACTATTAAGAGTAGGAAGGAAAAATGATCTTTTATATAAATTTTATTTTAAGTGAGGAGGTCGACTATGTTTAAATTTGCTATTTGGTTGCAGTTGAAAAAAATATACAGTATAATATATGAAGTTAAAACTAAAAAAATGTATTTGTGAGTCTATACTATTATTTCAATGTAATACTTATGGATAAAACTAAGAGGAAAAGACTTAGAAAATCCTTAACTATGCCTGTAGGATTATTTTTATCCTTTATCTATACTATTGAATATAAAATATCCCTTATCTTTGTAGAAGTGTACAATTTTAATCTACCCCGTAACAAAGTTTGCGAAACTAACGGATATGAGCGTCTGTTTGGGTTAAAAATAACGGAGTTTTACCCCAATAAAACCCAGTTAAAAATAACGAATTCTCTCTTTTTCTCTTCAACTGTCGACCCCTTTCCCCCCCAAATTTCCTATCATACTCGACCTCCTTTCTCCCAAAATCCCTACAAATCCCACCTCTATAATTTTGAAGATAGGATCCCTATTTGGCGAGTCGTGAAAGGAAATCAAATTTCGATTGAAGAGAAATTGTTTCGAGCCCTAATCGAAGAAGTAAAATGCAGAGTGGAAGTTCATTAACGTTGCCATGAGTATTGATCCAGAGTGAAAGTTCGTAAGTTGTTGACCCCCAAACGTTGATAGAATAAACGATCAAATGTCCGTAAAACCTTGTATTTTATCCATTTCATATTAAACCAGAGCAAATGAGGATTGAGAAGTGGGCTCTAAAGGAGGGCCTTTTATGATGAGGAGCATCCCATCTCCCAAAGGTGTACTAAATTGCCATTTCAAACTGCTTTGCAAGTGATTTCGAAAGTTATATTGTTAATCAAACTAATAATTGACTCATTACATTCCTTGCAGCACTTCCTGTATAGGCAGAAAGAACAATGTAGTGATGGCGTGGGCTATAGTTGGATAGATGGACTCAAATGCATTTCAATGACTAATCGACAACTTTTTACTGCTCTTATTTATCTTCCAATGCTTGTTTGTTTTAAAGCTGTCTAGGAAACAAATTTTTTCCTTTAATAGGTTACAGATAGGATGATGCTAAATGCTTCACATATATTCCCTCATAACACCCCGATTACAAAAGAAGCATACTACTATAGGATGATTTTCGAGCGCTTCTTCCCACAGGTACTTCGTTCAGATAATATTTCGTATTGTGAGGTTTCATGATAAATGGGCTAATTTACGCTTGTTGTTGACCTTGCAACCTTCCGATAAAGTGAGTAAGCTCACATAGTCGGATGTATGCACTTACCTCTTATTCTTATCTTGTCATTTTTGCACCACTTGATATACTTTCCAGCTTGTATTTCGTGAGTTTCCACAGCATATTTAAACTCTTTTTTGTTTCCAAATGTATATTCAAGAGCAAGTACGGGATTCTTCTCATTAGTTTTAGGATTGTACTTAGGAAAATCAAAACTCTCATTGTCTGAAGCACTATCCAAGCTTAAAGTGTCCGAAGAATTCACGCAATCAGAATCCCCTTCTTCATTTGACAACTTCTTTTGAACAACGACACTAATACGCTCTCTACCACCTTCAGCGCGTTGTTTTCCAGTAACTCCCTTATCAAGCATTGGATTGAAATCTGATAGTTCATTTTCAGAATCATCAAACTCATCACTACTAGACGAGTTTGACGTTTCAACCAGTTTCTCAGTAATTCCAACAGTTTGTTGCATATTTTCAATGTTGATTGTTTGACCTTCATTCCCAGATTCTATCTCTGTCATTTCAAAGTAGTAGTCCAGATGCTCAAAATATATCTCAAGTTCTCAACTATATTATCTTTGGTAATTGATTTGGCGATTCTGCTAGCTTCAACTTCAGTTGATACTAGTCTCAATATGTTAGCAAACTTACCACATTTGTGCCAGAATATCATTGAATCATTGACGTAACCACAAATCTCGGCCATCTTCCTCAACTCTTTCATATTAAGATCTGTTGATTTCACATAGTCAAAGTAGTCGACCACACCTCCAACATAGTGTTTAGTTGGCCGATGCTTCATCAACCCCTTATGATATACCTTAATGCTGAAACATGACGCCGCAATTACAAAGTCTGTCAAGAATAAAAATCATATTTTTAATAGGAGTTCAAACAAAAATAATTTGAAGCAAACAGAACTGAATATAAAAGCAACTCAAAAAATAAACAAAGAAGTTCTAATTATACTTTTGTAAAGGCAAGTAGAAACAAAATTAAAAAACAACTTATAATCTAACAAGATTTAGTTTTCCTGTGTAGAAATACGATTTAAAAAATATAAAGTACCCAAATTCAGCCTACTTAGATATGAATTAACAAACAAAAATAAGAATCAGGGTAAAAACTTATAAAGCAAATATTCTGAAAACTAGTTGGTAAAAATAGATTCTCACCATAAGATGGGCTTGCTTCTATTGCACCGTTCCTCTTGATATACATGGCTGGTGATGGAGAATAAAGATCGACAATGAAAATGTTTTGATTTTAAACGAATGAATCTGGCGTCAAAGCAAATAGAAGAACGATGTTGGCGCCAAAGCAAAGAGAAGGAACTAGGGATTTTCCCTTCTCCCGCGTTGTTTTCAGTTTTTAGTTTAACAGCGTTTATTTTAACTCTATTTAAGGTTTTTCCGTCAGTTTTTTAAACTTTGTTAAGGGCTAAACTATATTTGTCCACTTTTACAAAGATAAAAAATATTTTACATTTAGTAATATAGATAAGGGACAAAAACAGTCTCGTAGGCATATTTAAAAGCACCACGTAAGTCTTTTCCTCATAAAACTAATATCTACAAACTCCCTAATGTAACACCCTTATAAACAAATTTGGGAAGTGTTATGCCCCAAATTTTTCTCTTTCCAAATCTCAATTTCCCTCCTTCACAATATTCCCAAACCAAATTCCGATTGAAAAGTCACCGCCCTTCCCGGCATTCCCCGCCCCAGCACTGGCCACCGTCGTGTGACGGAGAAATGAGAATTCTTCAACTCCGATGGAAGAATCCGGCGAAGATATCATCAAAAACTCCACTTTCATTCGGCCCTTTCAATTCCACAACCCAAACCCGGTGGAAGAAACCAGCAAACACAGCCCAAACCAGACTGGAAAACCGGACCCGAGACCCGCATCTCGATAAACTCACAGCCCAATACCGGAGACTTAAACTCATCCTCAACCTCTACGACGTCGTATCTGCTAAAAAACGCGGTCGTTTTGTCTCAGTTCAGTCACTTTCCAAGTGGGCGCCACATGCCGGCATTAACACCATCACCGCCGGTGATCTTCTCCGGAAATACCCCCATATTTTTGAGGTATTTACACACCCAGTTAAGCGTAATTTATGCTGCAAGTTTAGGGAGAAATTTGTCATTTTGCTTAAGCAAGAAGAAGATTTCATATCACAAAATGAACATGAAAATGTGACGAGAATAGAGAAGATTTTAATGATGTCTGTTAACGGTACTATACATTTGCATGCACTTAGACTAATGAGGACTGAATTGAGTTTGCCTGAAAACTTCAGGGACTCAATTGTAATAAAGTATGATGAAGTTTTTAGGATGGTGGATTTGGAAACTGTTGAATTAATTGATAGAAATGGAGCAGATGAGAGTTTTGGGGTGGCAAAGGTTGAATCTTGGAGGCAAAAGGAGTATACTGAGAAATGGTTGAGTGAATTTGAGGTCAAATATGCATTTCCTATTCATTTCCCGACTGGGCTTAAGATAGAACCAGGTTGCAGGGAGAAATTGAAAAATTGGCAAAGGCTTCCTTATGTTAAGCCTTACGAAAGAGAACTTAGGTATCACTTGAATGGACAAACAACTGAACCCTTGGGACAATCTTTAGGATGTGATGAGTTGATATCGAGGTCAAAGGGGGTTGGAAAGCGTAGTTTTAAAGGGGTTGAGCGGTATGAGAAGCGAGCGGTGGCGATTATTCATGAAATTTTGAGCTTGACTGTTGAGAAGTTGGTGCCCGTCGAAAGGTTGGCACATTTTAAGAAGGACCTTGGTATCGAACTTAATATTCGTGAGCTGCTGTTGAAGCATCCTGGGATATTTTATATATCCACTAAAGGGAATACTGAGATTGTTTTTCTTAGGGAGGCATATAGTAAAGGGTGTTTGATTGAGCCGAACCCAATTTATGATTTGAGAAGAAAGATGTTGGAGCTTCTCTTGTTGGGAAACCGTAATACGAGAGAGTTGAGAACGGAAAGGGAACTGAAGGATGAAATTAGAGACATGACAGATGATGAAAATGGATGGGAAAGCAGAGAGGGCGACTTTGTTATTCCAATTCTAGAGAGCTTCTCTGATCATGACAATGATGACAATTTGAAGTAGAATGGTTACTTATATGAGGCAGAGCTGATTATCTGAGATGGAAATCAGTCAAGAGAATCTTGGTGTCATAAGCTAGAATTTTCTGCAAACTGACAATTTATGAACCATTTGGTGTTGGTTTTAGCAAATTGGTGTACAGTCGTATCTGTGCTTCTCTACTGTAATTGTTGTTCCGCTCTACAAAAGCCTCATTATGACTTGCCAGGAACCTTTGTTATTTCAGTTGGTGATTGTGCTGAAAAATTATGGATTCTCCCTTCTCTTCAGTTAGGTACAGTCTCTAGCATTATAACCTTTTGGTTTGCTCACAATGTTCATATCTGATAAATGATATTCCAGTTCAATTTCTGCCAGGTTTTGTTAATTTGCATTTTGTCGTTTCAAGTCAAACTATTAAATCATGGAAAGGAAAAGCTGGGCTAATTATAGTGGTATGCACCTAGTGGTGTAGAGCAATTTCAGGAATAGGTTTGCTAGCTTTTACAACTTCATTATAATCAGCAACTAGAAAGCTGGACCAAAATCATTTTAACAAAAGAGTAATATGGTGAAACTGCTGGTCCAAATAGGATGTAGAGGGTCTAATTTTATTCCTATAGTAGTAAACTAGAAAGTGGCTAATAAATTACCATCTTCTCATCTTGTTGTTTGACTTGGATCAGTTTGTTTCTTATTGGAATTTGGTCCAAATGAGGAAGGGAAAACTTTTGGAAGTGTTGGACCATAACCTTTTTAAAATAAATAAATATTTGTCTCTTGTATAATACAGGGATAATTGGAGACCCTTTTAAATCGAGGTAACTATGGAGAAACAATCGTAATGGTACAGTAAGGTGTCAGGTTCCATATTTTTGGAGTAATGCATGGTTCTTTTTGTTGCTTCTGGTGGAGGACACTAAATTCTGTCTTTACTCGTCTGTTATTACTATTACTATATACATAAAGGAAAGCCAAGCAGCTTCCCGTCGTCGTGTGTGCTTGCGTTTAACATGAAACTCTCCTTGGACGACGAAGGGTATTACAATAAATATAAACTGCTTCATGAGTAAATTAGTAATTCTCTTTGTCCATTGAGGACACGCGTACACTGTAAAGCCTTTTCTTCTTCCTTGCTATTCGTATATTCCATCCATTTCCACGTGATCTTTATCTCTCACTCCTCTCTCCAGTATTACTCCGTTGCTTCTAACTTTTGGGTATCATCTACTGTGCATCCCAGCCCATTTACGATTTCTAAATTTTATTTTTTATTTGTACCAAGTTTTTTCCGTTTCTTTGTTTCTTGCACTGACTTTTACCCATCCCTTTTGGATTCCTTTGAAGGTTTGTGCATTTTTACTTCAATTTTAATTTCCTACTCTTTCTAATAATTTTTTGCTAGATATTTAGATGCATGTCAATGATTTTGTCTGATCCACACATGCATCTTTGAAATTAGATAGCTGGTGAATGTAATTATGTATTATTTTGGATTGTGCGTTGATGTCTTTTCGACTTTTGGAACTAATTAATAACTCAAACTTCCGTGAAAAATTTGTAGTATTAAGCTTGCTGTTGGAAGATTGGGTCTTTGCTACTTACAATCTTTTTTAGTTATTGACAGTATCTCCAAAGGGGGTTGAAAATGCAAGAGGATTCAAGTGTAAAAAAGACTTAGAGGAGCCTACAATTGCCGAAGAGGAGCAACAACGTCAGAAATGACGAGGTAAAATGGCTAACTTAAAAAAGATATTTATCACGTAATTAATATCGATTATCCACGGCAAGTATGACGCAGGTTCACCATCTGAAAATTTGTATGCAACATATGATTTTAGCCACTAAGGGTATCATAGGTGTTATAATTTTGGACGTTGGTTATGTAAGATATTTGTTTAGCATTTTTTTGTTATTTTTTTCAGTATATACCATAGATGTCTGTTTATGGACTGCAAATATATGTATTTTTCTCTTGATATTATTTGTTGAAATTTGCAGGAAATGTTCTGTGGGGGTTGTGCAGGCAGGATGAAGAGAACTTTACAAAGTCAGGTAAGTCTTTGAATCCCTTCTAACTTCTTATCGTGTATCGTAGTTTACAATTTTTATACTAACTATTTTAATCTTGGTGACTATGGCTTCTTCATTAGCAACTTTTATATTATCTGAATTTTATTTCTCTACTCCTTACACAATTTACTATATTCAAGTTACTTCGCTTTCGAGTGTTTTTGCTTTGTTTGTGTTAACAAAGACATTTTTCAGGATTTATTCCTTAGCGTTCTCAGAAAAAGCAGGTTTATTAAGAATGAGTTTCTGTTTTTCAGAGCATTCTTTTGAATGAAAAATATTTATTATGCATTCATGATTCATCCTTCAATCATAACACTTATACTCAAAATGAGCTCTCAGGAGGACTGAGCAGAAAAGAAGTTCTATGTTTTATAGTTGCATCAAATTTCAGGCAAACGAGTATTAAGTTATGCTGTACAATTATGAGAAAAGGACTACGAGAAATTATAGAGTACAACAGGAGATTCCATTAGTTAAATGGCCAAAGTGCTTAAGTAACAAATATATATTCTGCACCGATTTAAGAATCAAAGTGCTTAAGTTTTGATCTCGATACATCTATTGATACGGTACAACCTTAAGGTACAGCCCTTGTGCTGTCCTTGCAGCAATACTTTGGTTTCCTTTTATTTCTCTCATATGAGATTAAATTGAGCTTAATTTAAAAAGCAAATATTCACTGATTTTGTCATTTCAACTTTCTCTGGTCACGAGCAAATAGTTTGAAGCAGTGAAGGTAAGGCAAGCTCAAATGAACAGCCATTCCATTTTTCCATTCTCAGGTCCTCTGTTGTTTTCAACATTCTATGCTTGGGGAAAAATTTAACTTTCTTAGAATGGCAAAGAGCGATACCTTATTTTGAAATATAGCAAGAGTAATAACTTGTGCACTAATTGTTTTGATATCACACGAAGTGTTTAAAGAAATCTTTCATCTATTTTGGTGTGATTACAATGACTCAATAAGGAACAACTTTGAAAATGCAGCTCTGAACCATGTTTGCACATCTTTAGCCATTTATGCTCATTTGTCTATACTATTGAATGTACCGGTGTTACAAGTTTTAGCATTAAATGAGAGTAAAAATGATATTCTTACCTATATTTCTTGATTTATCCTTTTAGTTTTAAAAATAAAATAATAATGTAGCTAGCAATGAGGATTACAGGGTCTAGATAGCCTAATCTGCAACCACTTTGGCCAGGCGCTCTTATAGTTTCTGCTTTATCTGTTCAATTCTATAGTCAGTCATTACATTTTAGCAACATACTTTGATGGTGTTGTTTGTGTAATATTTGCAGGTAGAGAAAGTTTCTGCTGCAGCTCACTTTTGACTTTTTGGCAAGCATACGTGTTTTGATGATCAATTGAACAAAGGTAATTAAAATTATGACTTGTTTTCTTCTTTCACTTACTGGTCGTGTTGAGATACTATCTCTTATTTGTGCATTTTAAAGTTTAGATACTATCTCTTATTTACCCCACTTATAGAATCTCACTGGGTTGTTGTTGTTGTTGTTGTTGTTGTATACTATCTCTTATTTGTGCATTTTGGAATTTGGTTTCACTTTAAATAAAATAAGAACAAGTTGATGTTATCTGAGAAATCTCATAGCAATTCTTTTGAAGAAAAAAGTACATTGATCTTTATAGTGTATTTTTCTGAAGTGTTTATGTGTGCTTCTCTGCTCTGTTGTGTACCATTCTTTTCTTTTATTCCTAGGAGAGGAAGTAGACAACTCAAAATATAACAATTAGTTGCCTCCTGAGTCGATGTATAACTTACTTGAGTCTTTCTCCCTTTTTTTTCTTACTGAAGCAGCTCATGCTCCAAAGTACCAAGAAGAACATATGGTTATTAAGCTTTCTTGTGATACTTTAATTTTTACATTTTTCCTGTCCTTTCAGAGCCCTTTATGGAGCTTTATTTCTCCAGCATTAGTTTCACTTTCGAACTATTGATTCGTCTTAATTTATTAACACCAATTGCTATCATTTTCTAGCATTGTTCAGTTTTAGATTGAATTCGTTTAAGTCATTTTATAATAAAGCTGTTAAAGATTTTTTGGTTTGTTTGTTTGTTAGGGTACCTGGCTTGAACTCTAACCTAGTAGCATGAAAAAGACTCTCTCAACCACTATGAACAAGATTGTTAAAGATTATAAGATCTTGGAATTTCTGATGTTGTGAGTCCTTCATGAATTGTATACCTACCATTTAGCGATAGTAAATATTTTTATCTCATTTATAATGAAATACTGCAGAAAATCAGAAAATGAAAGTTGTAGCTACCAAATATTCATACCACGAAGCCCAGTGATTTTATGATATTTGATTGTAGACGTTTCCTAAAGAACTCGTGAACTGCCAAAGCTAAGATGTTAAGATATCTAAATGCTCATGAAAGTTGAAAGGTTGTTGAATGAGTGTGTTGACTCCAATCACTTTATATTTTTCAAGAGGCTAAGATGTTAGAAAATCTAAATACTTATGAAAATGTAGATGTAGGTGAATTAAGTTCTGATAATTAAATTATAAGATCAAAAGTTATGAGTTCTAATGGAAAAATTTAAATTTTAGATCATTCTTAACACTTCTATGTTACTTTCATGCATATGCTATTCTCTCTGTTCCAATTTTATGGTTCTTATCACTTTTTTTTATGAGTATTATTCGCTAATATATGGCTCATTCCTTCTGGGCTTGAACTCAAGTCTATGCATGACTATTGCAGGGCAATACTTATTCTGATTTCATGTAGAGGTACCTGCTATTACTATTGGTACTATGTGCTTTACGGAGAATGAAGACCAGCTAAAGAAGAACAGCTCAATACTTTCTTTTAAAATAGTTCCTATGTTATGGACATTCAAGCACTTGTCCATCATTTGAGATTCTGCTAAAGGCTTGAATTTTTACTTTTTAATTTTTTAACAAAAGGTGTTTGATTTATTGCCATAATAGCGAAAGGAAAAATGACATCAGGCACCCGTGCTACGCACGAGCACCCTCATCTAGTTTATCAATATAACCAGGACTACTCCAGTACTCAAATGCACCTTTGTGCCCGTTGATATTTGAACCAGAAATGAAAGGTTGAAGTTTTGGCCCTGCTAAGGCTCGTTGACATATGGTATCTTCAGTACAGCAAGAGTGATCCATGGTGAGGAATCCATTGTGAGGAATCCATTGTGAGGAACTGATCGGCGATATGTTGGATGACTATGTAATGCTTTAAAATATCCGGGGTAGGGTTAAGGTTGCGTACTTTTTACCCTCTCCAGACTTCACTCCAGGGGAATTAGTGGGTTTGTTGTTGTAATTTTACTCAAGGGAAAGGGAGTGATTTGAGAACATATATGATTTTCCACAAAATCTGTCCTCTTTCCTTTCAGACGCTTCTCAATTTTATTTCTCCAGATAATCCACATTAGTTAATCTCAAACTTTATCCCGAAATTATTATTCTTATCCCATGTACCAAACGACCTCTGACAGTGAAAGGCATACTTCAACCTCAAGCATGATCCATTTTGCACCCCACTAACCAATATGCTTACAGGAAAGTTAAGCTTTAATTGTATCTAGATTTGTTGTTGGTTTAGTTATCAAGAAGTTTCTGTTAAGTAATTTTCAGAAAAAAAGTTTGCGTGTAGAATCATCTTTCAAGAAAATACTTTTGGAAAATCATGTTAGTTTTTGTGAAAATCTATCTTTGGATTGTTTTATGTCTTTAGAAAGCATTTCGGTTGATTTTCAAAGAGGAACGTCCATTCAATTTTCCATTTTCTAAGAACGTTGACGAGAGTATATTTCTAATACAAACGGGTTTAAATGTTATGCATCCAAAATTATTTTTAAGAGAAGACTTGTAGAATGACACAAGTTTTTTTTTTTTTTTTTGGTGCAAAAAAATAATTGTTTATATTATATTAAGGTGGAGTAGTACAAGAAGCATGTGAAAACATAGCTTAAGAGCCCGTTTGGCCAAGCTGCAAAATTACTTATTTTGAAAAGTATTTTTTTCAGAAGTACTTTTGAAAAAAAACTATTTGTGTTTGGTCAATTCATTTAAGAAGTACTTTTTGGAACATTTGGTAAATAATTTGTGTTTGGCCAATCATTTCAAAAAATGCTTTTGAGTGTCAAATTACCAAAAAGGATAGTACCAATGTCATATAATTCTTTTAAACATAAAAATGAACTCAAGTATTTATTTCCTCAAGTGCCCAAACAAACACCGTTTACTAATTCGTGGTAAAACTTGACGTAAACCTGGTGGGGGCAAAGTACCACATTTCAGAAGTTGGAGGGAATTTGAACAATTTTCAAGTTTTTGGGTAACTATAAAAAGAGGACACAAGTTGCAGCCGACCTGAGCTAGGGTTTTCGGTGTTTTATGGCTGCGAAGATATTGGGCGAAATGGGAGAAGAGAAGAGAGAAGTAATATTCAGAGACATAAGACGATATTATTGTGAATTTTGTGGGATTTGCCGCTCCAAGAAGTCCCTCATCTCCTCTCATATCCTCTCCAATCATCATGTACGTTTGTTTTCCTTTCCTCTTTTTAATTTTGGATTTATGTTTTGCTTTGCATCCATTTAGTATTACTTGTTCATAAATGCAGCAAATAGATCTACTCTTATGGTTATTTTTTTTTGAGCTCTCTTGTATTCTAAAGTTGACAATCAGTAATTATTAGAAGCTTCAATAGCCAATGTGAAGTGCAATAAGGGTCGTTCTGGTTCACTGACTACTTATGTAAGGATTATTGTATTTATGTAGATTGTTATGCGTGGACTAATAATACATTAAATAATTATGTTTCAATTTCAATTTGCTGCTATACTAGTATTATTGTCTTTTTAGATGCTCTTTTTCGTTTATTGGAAACCAAGTGCTATTTTAGTAGCAAAGAGTTTTTTGTGTATTGATTTTACCTATTCATCAAACAAAACGAGTCCTTGATGCGTGTTGTGTAATATAAATTGGGACAGCGGAATCATAGGTGAACTCAAAATTGAAGATTTTCTTGTGATTGAGCTTAACTTTAGTTGTGTATTTAGAGAGATGCTGATTTGGTTAGTTTAAGGGAAAATTGAAATGGGTCTGGTTTTTTTTTTAAATAGGATGAAATGGAGAGGCGGAAAGATGAGGCAAATGAAGATGTAAAGAAAAAGGAAGGCCCAAAAATAAATATTTGTGAAGAATGTGGTGTGAGCTTTCAGAAGCCTGCTCATTTGAAGCAGCATATGCAGAGTCATTCACTCGAGGTATCTTTTGTTTGTGGTCATCGTTTGTGATGTTGGCGAGCTCTTATTACTTTATTGGGAGTTCAGTTCTGAGGTTATAAGAAGCCTTCATATTTTCTGATATATTGTCTTTGTGTACATTTGATATTTTACGACTTTGCAGATTGAGGTAATTTGAGAAACATTGTGGAATTATGTGAAGGTGTGAAGCATTGGATCCCAAAAAAAAAGAACTCCAAAATGCAAGAGGCAGGTATCTTTCCTTGACTGGATCAGTATCAGGAAGGGGGACCTCCTGAGAAGCTCCATCAAGTGAGCCTCAATCACGCCTTATAATCTTGGTGGTTAGAGACTCATCCCAGTTCCCCCTCCTCCCAAATATTAAAAAAGCTTATCTTTTCTCTCCATTAGCATATGTGGACGTTGGTCAAGGACCTCCAGACTGAAACATTCTTAAAATGTTTTCTTCTTGATCTTTTGCATGAACAGAGGCCATTTGTATGCCATATAGATGACTGCCAGTCCAGCTACCGCAGAAAGGATCACTTGACGAGACATCTCTTGCAGCACCAAGGGAAGTTGTTTGAGTGTCCCGTTGATGGTTGCAAACGCGCATTTAGTATTCAAGGCAATATGACTCGGCATGTCAAAGAGATGCATGACCAGCGTGCCTCCCCTGAGGCCAATCTTCCAAAGCAGTATGTCTGTTCAGAACCTGGTTGTGGGAAGGTGTTTAAATTTGCATCCAAATTGAAGAAGCATGAAGATTCTCATGGCAAGTCAAACTTCAAAATTCTAATTATCTGTAGGGTACTAATATTTTATATGTTTCTGGTTTTGAAAACTTCCAATAATGACACCATAATCTGCCATGTATCCATGCAGTTAAGTTGGAGAAGATGGAGGCACTTTGTTTAGAGCCAGGCTGTATGAAACATTTCACAAATGAGAAATGCCTCAAGGAACACATAGAGAGTTGCCACCAGCATATTGTGTGTGAAATATGTGGAACCAAGCAATTGAAGAAGAATATTAAGCGGCATCTCCAGACGCATGAAGAAGAGTCTACATCGGAGAGAATAAAATGTGAATTCCAGCATTGTCAGCACACTTTCTCCACTGTAAGACTACTGCATTTTCTTATATGTAAATAAAGCTCCTTTCAGTTAAAAGGAACTGTAGTGATGAATTTAGAAAGCAATAGCAGTGACTTATAATTCGTGTGAGGAAAAAATTCATATACAGAAAACCGACAACTTTTTAACCTCAACCAAGCCTGCACTGCATCAAGTTAAGTGCATCAGAGTGATAGTCTTCTCACTGAAATATTTGTTGCTTGAAAAACAGAAATCCAATCTTATTCAGCATGTCAAAGCTGTGCACCTGGGGGATAAACCATTCTCATGTGGCATTGCTGGTTGTGGTATGAAATTTGCCTTCAAGCATGTGAGAGATAGACACGAAAAATCAGGCTGCCATGTTTATACTCCAGTAAGTAGAATGCATTTGTTGCTTGAAAGCACAACACTGTCACTCAGGTCAGTTTGCTTCTAATATTCATGAGAGTGGCTTGAGGCGTTTTGATTGTCTTGTGTAGGGTGATTTTGTAGAGGCTGACGAGCAATTCCGTTCTAGACCAAGAGGTGGTAGGAAGAGGAAGCTTCCTGTTTTTGAGGCAATTATGCGGAAAAGGATTACACCACCCTGTGGTACAGATCCCGTGTTCTATCAAGGATCAGAATATCTCTCATGGTTACTCTCAGCAGAATCAGATGAAGAGCTGTGAGTCTGTTTCTTTGGCCAGATGCCGTGTTAAATCATGGGCCAGAAATCTCATGGTTCCTCTTAGTTGAATCAGAGGATGAACTCTGAGCGTCCCCTGGACAGTTTCTTAGCAGATAGCTAGTGTATATGTGTCCATAAGTTTTTACTAGAAAAAAGTATATGCTGTCCATAAGTTAAATTTATCACAATGCTTGTTCTATAATCTAATGGATAAGTATTATCTTAATTGTTGAGTCTTGCGCAAATCTTCCATTCTCTTTGTTTCATTTGATCTGGGTGTTTGATTAAGCATGAAGGTTAATAAAAACTCTTGATATAAATGGTAGTTAACACGATATGTCAGTTTCTATAGAAGTTACTAAAATGGGAACGTTAAAACTGAATGAGCTTTCTATTGCAAAAATATGTTCATTCTTTATGAAAGGGAAGCAGAAGTGTAACATATCTTTTATAAAAGGAAATGGAGAGTGTAATTCATTTCTCAAAGAACGTTTATGGGATGTTTTAAGAATATTTCCCGCACTTCTTCACTAAATTTTCTTCTCAGCCCAACCTGCACATTTGGTTAGCTCATCGCATAGATTGCTATTAACTCTTCCAAACTATAATGCGCCACAATGCAATAGTAGTAGCAAGGCTAATTTTGCTAACCTATCATGTTTCTTCAGCAATAGTCTCACTGCAACTATTTTACCAAGGAAAAATATTTTAGCCCTTAACACAATATGGAGAGCCATCTCTCTCGCGTTGGAACTTTCTTTTCTGAATAACCTTATTGGAGGATAAGCGCCCTTTGCTGGAATAAGTAGGAACCCGTTTCGGCACACACAAGCCACATTCATAATCGCCGACTTATACATCTCATCTAGATGCTATTTATAAGTCGTACTTACTACTTATTCAACAATTGCGATTCATACAATGCATTCATGCTCGGTTTATAACTCGGTTTCACAACTGTAATTATAAACACCATTTAAGTATTGCGTTTTATAAATTTAATTTTTAATTGCAATTTATAAGTCACATTCAAAGAGTGATTTGCGAGTCGCATTCAGTGATCCCCATTTATAAACATCGAGTTAGGTAAGATGTAGATCAAGCACAATAAGCTAGAAGAGTTATTATTTCGCTTTGAAAGGGTCGCATTCTACCTATAGCAATTTACAAGTCCAGCGTTCTTCAAGTGCGGTTTATATTCATCAAATGTATTTATTGCATGAACGTATTCTCATCAAAAGGCGTTTTCTAAATGCTATCTGTAAATCACGTTCATCAAATATATGGATTTTGATCATGTTTGTCAAGTACGACTTACAATTGTATTAGTCATATGCGACTTATAAATTGAATCCAACAAATGCGACTAATGCACCTCACTTTGCTTGATCTACTCACGTCATAACCCGGCTTACTCATTTTCTATCCGACAAAGCGCTCATCTCATAATTGGTGAGTTTGCAAGTTCAATAAATAGCATTTTGTATGTAATTTATGGCTTGTATGACAGCTTCTTTATTCTTTCCTTAATGGCATATGCTTTAGTCGTATTCTATAAATGCTTTTGGGTACATTTTTAAAGCCAATACATCACTGAAATTATTGAGCCAATTATGCTTAAATCCTAAACACCTTTGAATAATCTTATACTAAAAGTTGTATTGTGTGTATACGCTCCGGTGGCAATTAAAAACATATTTGAATATAAGATGTTATTGTACATCCTTTCATCAAAAAATGCATGACAAATTTGCACTGTCCTTATGCAGCTTGACCTTTGAAGTTGATTCTAGAATTTGCAACAAATGCAAAATAGGTACTTCAAAAACTTGACTCTGTTTGACTCAAAAGTTGTTTACCACTTTTTAAGCAAATCAATCAATATAGATGAAGGGGTATACCGTAATCGAAGATAATAAACCCTAGGATGATCTTGGCAATTGATTCAGACAACAATAATACAAATCAGAGAGAGAGAGAGAGAGCGCGATAATCTTCGAGAGATCGGAGAGAGAGATAATGTTAGAGAGAAGAGAGAATGTTAGAGAGATTGTATTTCCAATAATGAAAAAATCCCCCCTTTACGAGGCTCGGACCCTCTTATACTAATAGAGGATCCTTACTTGAATATTAAAAGACAGAAATAAAGTACATGCTATAGATGGGCCGACGTGATCATGAAGTCGTCCCTCTTATTATTCCTAGGTCGTCCTTCTAGCCGGACTCACATATATTCGGTCGGTCGTGCTGGCTTAGGGACGTGGTC